ACGCCAGCCAGGGATTGAGATGGTGGCGCGGGGGAGCGACGCAACGCTGTCGAAAACAGCACGGCGGTGGATGTTCACAATAAGGAATAATCCGCGAGGAAAATCGGAGGGATGAGGGAATTGTGGGGGGTGGGGGGGGGGGCTTATCGGCGAGGGGCAGAAAGAAAATGTGTGGGCAGGGGAGGTTGCGTGATGTTGCCAGCACGCGTTATCCAATAGTACACTGAAAACCATTGAGTGAGGTGTTTGCTCGATATGAGTGAGACAATTTTGATCCGCTCAATCAGAGCAAGGCTCACCCTATTTGAGTCATATGCACCGTATCCTAATCTGGATGAGTGAGATTTCTCTGACCTCGCACACAATCCGAAACAATCACACACAATCACGACACAATCACACAATCAAGTCACAATCTGACACAATTTTCCAAAATATGTCACTTTATTTATCCAAAAATCTGAAACAATCAGAGACAATCTACTGTGAAAAATGTCGCCGTAAATGTACAAAAATTTTGTAAACTCGAATTATAATTTAATCTGTAAATTTACGACAACACATTTTTTACTCGCCGAGAGATTTGAAGTCGATACATACTGCATGTATTTTTACGATTACAAATTGTAATTTTACAACTTGCGTCAATGAAAATTTTCCTGTAAATCTACCTACTTTTTTCACAGTGTCACATACAATCAGAAACAATCACACAAAATCAGAGACAATCACACAGAATCAGAAACATTCACACACAATCAGAGACAATCACACACAGTCGTACACAATCTGAAACAATCATAAACAATCAGACACAATCTGAAACAATGATTGTCAAGACACAATCATGTGTACACTTTTTTGGCCAGTTCCACACCCCTCGCCTTGTGCAATGTATGACACCTCCCATGTAAAATTTGCCTGCACCCGGTTCAACAATGTCTCACAGTGTTGTGTCGGCGTTAGGTTTGTTACAGATTACAGATTACCGGTGTTATGGTTCGAACCAGGGCTCTCTTTCCTCGTCGTTTGCCCCGCGGTACGAAGACCCCCTGGGCTTAGGACCTCACTTGTCATTGCTATCGAGTTCGCGTAAGTCCCACTGCCCCCCCCCCCCTCCCCCCTTTCCGCCTCTCCATAGAGAACACGAGAGAGCAGCTAACGTGTGCGAGAGACAGAGGCTGACTGGGGGATGGACGCTGTCGAGCGCCCGCTCCGCCCACCTCCCCTTCAAGAGCAATGGACCGGTCCAGGTGTGGACAGCCTTTTGGACAGCACGGCTATTTAATTTCCTAAAGGGAGGGGCGGGTCCGGGCGGGGCAGAGGTCGGCGCTGCGGTCCGCGCTGAGCGGGGCGGGGCGGGGCCGGGCGAGGCCGGCAGCCGTACCTCCACTGGCCCCGCTACTTGAACAGCAATTAGTGTGGCTGCCGGGCTGTGCCGGGGCTTCAGGCCGCTCAGCCCCCGCTCTGCCCGGCCCGGCCTGCACACCGGCTCCACACCTGGCCGCCAGTCACCTAATGAAATGTTTCCGTCGAAGCGACCCCTGTGTCAACAAAACCAAAACCTTCCACCATCAAAAATGTAACATTTTATTGCTGTCAACTATAGGATGAAAGACCGTGGAAGTACTGTCTTAAAACTGGGCTTTAGAAATATTTGAAATTTCTTTTTCTTTTACCGTGTATACGCCCTCCTGCCACCGCAAAGTGCGAGAGAGGTTGAAAGCCATGTGGAGCCGGTGGAGCCCCCCTTCCCTCCTACTTCACTTCCCCTTTCCTCTCTTCTATCGAGTTCAGCAATGATGGTGCGGGGAATGAGGGCGGCGGGGAATACACTGTGACGTCACGCCGCGCTGACCTTGCCGCGCGTTGTTTCAAATTTGAAACAGAATGACCCACGCATGCTGCGCCCTGCGTCGCCGTGCGGGCGGAGGAGGGAGGTCCTTGTGGAGAATATGTGGCCGTTCCAGGGTCGCCAAACTTCGTCCATTCGCTTCGTGAATGGCCTGCCGCGCGGCTTGGCCGGCCCGGTACGCCCGCCCGCCTGCCTGCCTGCCCGCCCGCCCGCCTGGGAGTCTGCCTATCCTCCAGGACTGTTTTCCAGGACTCGAGGAGGCGAGGCTACCCACCCGGCCCACCTTTTCACCCCGGCGCCGTCACAGTATCCGCCCGAGCACGGTCTTGTGCAAGGCACAATACCTGCCGGAGGGGAGGGGGCGGCAGGGGTGTTTAATGCAACAACTTGGGGATGGCAAGACGCGAGGCCCGTTAAAAACGTCACTGTTTCGGCCTAGTCTTTTGTTTTGCACTCAACTGTTGGGTGGAAGTGCGGCAGGCGCGGCGGGTCGAGCTCACGACGTGGAACTACTTCATCTTTCCGGCGAAACGGACGGGTGCGGAGGACGACATCGAGGCAGGAAGAGGTGGAGACGGAGCGGGTCAGGAGTAAATGTGATCCGCGCCCTCTCTCAAAGTACTTGCTTGCGGGAAAGGTCAGGTGCAGGAAGGAGTGGTTCAGCGCAAGTTGCGTGGCAGGCGAGTGCTTCGGGGAACTAACAACTGAGCTCAGGCAGCTGCTGCCACCCGGGCACCCCGGGCACGGCCAGGCGATGTCCGAGGGGACTACTGGGATGTGCGGGCACTTGCAGCCCCATCATGGTCTCAGTGCGCTTCCTCTACCTTCCACGGGCAGCTCTACCTTCTCTGCAACAGAAGGGATCCTGGAAAGGAGTATTGCTAACGCCCTGTTTTCGGTAATTTCAGGTACACACCAGTATTTCCTGTAAACATCGGTTAGCAATATTTGTTGGTTTTATACGAAGATTTTCAAGAGAACAGTTCATGAAGTCACAATCCTATCGTAGAAATATAAAACCTCTTGAATATAAAACCTCTTAAGCACAAAACATCTTAAACACAAGGTAGATGTACGCCAGACCACGTCTCGCGTAACAGGCTTCGCGATGTTCCACGAAACACTGTTACGCTATGTGACGTGCCTGGCATACATCTACCTCGGCCTACGGCGCTGACACCTGAGTCGAGTAGTGGAAAAATGTACACAAAGATACGACTTGGGATGCAGGGTTGTAATTGTTTGTTGACAAAGTTTTTTTTTTTTTTCTCGACAAGACGGCGTAATAGGCTTTGCTAATCGCTCAGCCAACAAAATTTCTAAAATACAAAACCTCTTAAGTACTCTGCTAATCCGAGTATGTAACAATTTTCCAGTTTAAAATGGCAAACTAAAAGTCTGCACCAATTGCATAACAGTTTGCCAGTTGTTGGTGTAGAACTAAAGAGTTCTGCGGTTAGAACTGGCGAACTGAAGAGTTGTGCAGTTACAACTGGCAAACTTTTATTTCTGCAGTTACAACTGTAAAACTTTTAGTTCTACAGTTGAAACTGGCAAACTACTACACACTTAGATTAGCAGAATACAAAACCTCTTAAATAGAAAACCTCAGTCGATTCTCGATAAAGCGTTTTGGCCGATTGCAGCGTTTCGAAACGTTAAAAGCGGAGAACGTTGTATCCGAATGTATCTATATGGGATTTATTTTTTTGTAAACTCCTCGAGAACGTTATACGCGGAGAAACGTTATATGCGGTGACGCTTTACCGAGAGTCGACTGTATTGATACACTCGACAAACACAAACCAGAAATCCGGTTTGTCGTAAAATTACGATACCGTTGACAATTTTACATAACGTTAGGTACTTAATTATTAAATCGTTAATCACTAACTAAAGTACAATTACAATAACATTTTTATGAGTGCATAGTGGAGCTCAGATTGTTTGCTAGCCTCTAGAAGGGGACGGACATTGGCGAGGCAATAAGCGCTTGAGTACGGAACGTCCGAAAATAACGGTGCAGGAACCTCGGGCAAAACCCACATTGGGCTTGTCACTCTGAGAGCGCTCACGTGCAGCCAATCAAGTCAAAAGGCGACTGGCAGGGCAGCCCGGCCAGCCGCAAACGAGTGAAGTTGCACGCGAATTCTACTTTAGTCCGCGAATTCTACTTTACAGTGTAAAAGAGCTCTGCGTTTTGTTGTGAAAAAAGCGAAAGACACACAGCAAAAACTATTTGGTTTGCTCATGAATAAACTCGTTCTTTCATTTAAATGATGGCTCCTATTGAGGTGGAATTATCCTAGAAAGTGCGTCCGTCATATTCCGTTACGAAAGTTCGGCAAGTGCAAAAGCAAGGTCGAATAGCGCCTGATAGGTAGGCCAGATCTCGCCTGTAGAGTCTGCGTGTACTGTGGGTTGGCGTGAGTCCCACAGGCACCCGCACACGGTGAAAGCTCTTCCTTGATATCCAAGGACCATCGGAAGGATTCAAGGACGGGATAGGGAAAATTGCATGGGGCGTCCTTGAATCGTTCCGATGGTCCTTCGACCAGAAGGAACAATTTTCACCATGTAATGATGGAATGAATCCGAGACCTACTGTACTTTTTAGACAATCCCTAAGAGGAACTGGTATACTGCTCTCACTGTATTGAAAATCATATCGGTTGGCGTATTTCCCACACACTGCCATAGGTTTAAGGGAGGCCTTTCCACTAGGTGTATGTCATAAAATTAAAATTCAAAATTGTCAAAACAGCTGGTGGACTACTGATCGCTTTTCGCTTTAAGGTATTAAACAGCATAAGTGCCAAGTTTTGAATAAATTTAGAATATCAGCCGAATGTCATTCTGAAGAATTAAAACAATCAAAATTGTCCTCAAAGTTGAGTTTTATTTTTTCAAACTGTTGTGTATGGAAAGTTTTCACTTGACTCTTTCGAAAGTTTTCGAGCAGACTGTAATTCGTCGTTGGTTCTGATATTGCTCCAATTGCTGGACTTACTGCGTGCGCCGTTACGATTGGGCTTACAGCGGTCCTGGTCTGGATAAATCAGCGGGGCCCGAGCCTACCGTGCGTGCGCGCGCGCGCGCCGACCTCAGGTGGCGGGTCATATAATGAGGCGTGTTATTGTTGCAGGTGTAATTCGGACTGGGCCGCAGCTGGAGCCGGGGATGGAGCCGAGGCTGGGGCCGCACCGCAGCCCGGAGCCATTCCAGAGGACTTCTGCGCCACGCCGCCGCCTTGCGGGGCTTAGCTCAGCCGGACCAGCCCGGGAGGTAGGCCACCCGCCCGCGCCCGTGCGCTCCTGCGGCCTACCCGCGGCTCGACGGGCGCGCTGCCGCTCGGCGCGCCTGCTCTGGCTCTGCAAGTGTGTGACTCACAGTGCGAGCCGGAATATCACACACGAAGGAGTTCGTGTGACCATTGTGTCATGCGTAGAAAGTGGCACGTAAAGAAATAATTATCCCGTGTGCGTATGTGTGCTATGTCATTTTACAGAAAATGAGTTTCTAACTGTTGGAGGGAAGGGTGTAGTTGTCGAAACACAAAAGAGCATGTTCTGGATGTCGCACATTCTTTTGCATTCATTATTATGCGTGTGGATGTCACAAACTCGTGTTTGTCTAATTGTGTATTAGTAAAGATTAGAGTCTTCTGGTCAGCCGTTTACAGAAACTTTTTTTTTTTTTTTTTTGGTTTCCAACGTTGGTTTTTTGTTTCGCTTGTAGAGGATCAGCCCATTGCTAGAAGGGGGTAGCGCGCTGAACAAACCCTTTGTACAGTCATTTCCGTGGAGGAGGGAATGGATGGGAGGGAAGATGAGGGAGAGAGAGAGAGAGAGAGAGAGAGAGAGAGAGAGAGAGAGACGGAAAACTTTGAGAACGGCGAATGGCAGATGTTCCGTCCGCCTCGGATTAGCTATACGCGGAATTACACCGCCTTATCGTGCTCTTCCAAATGCCCTCTTAATACCAATCTCAACGCTGCGCGGCCTACGACTACAATATCGGGCCGCGCCACGCCGCGTATTTGGAACTCCTATGATTAAAACTTTTATCTCGAGGTGCGCTCTCTGACTGGAGGCGCGGTGCTGCGCGGGGCGGGAGAGGGCGCGGCATCAGAAGCATTCACCACGATGGCCTCATCAGAGATTAGACTTCCGGAGTGAGCGAGTTGGATTGAAAATCACGCGCCCTTCTATCGCTCCCACTCCTACCCCCCCCCCCCTTATTTTTGACTTCTTGTGTGCTGCCTGATTTCTGCCTCCTACGCCACATCTTTTAATGCGGCAACAAGAGAATCACGTGAGTCAAGCGTGTTTTCTTATTTCTCTTTTTTTTAAATAGCGACAACCGTAAAGATTGACTTTTCTGCCGCCAACTGGTCAAGTGCGAGGTTCGTTTACTAAGCCTCAGTAAGTTACGCTTTGGTGTTCTTTTCCGTCTTCTGCTTTATACCAGTCTCTTTTGTCGCCTTTTATATTCAATGGAGCGCGCCGCTTTGTCTCATTTCTTTCAGATCGTGTTGTGGGTTTGGCGTGCCTCGCGCGCATCTCTTACAGTTTCCAACAACTTGTTCTCTAATTGCCGGCTGTTGACGCCCACCGCCGCCAGCTGGGACTCTTGACAGATATGGAACCTTTTGTCTGCCCGATGCCAAGTTCCCCAGCAGTCTCTGCGGCCTGCTCTGCGGTGGTCCGGGCGCGCCGACAGCCATCGCAATGATCTCTGGTGAATTGCTGTTCCGGCCGCTGGGTAAATGATGCAGCGATAGGCCGTGGCTGCTGCATGGTTATTTGTTTGCGGTGCGAAGTTGTTGTTGGGGCCCCGCGCCGGCCTCGCCCCCCAGCACTGCTCACCGGTACCGCGGCTCTGCGAGAGGGAGGCCTTGCCGGGCGGAGGTCTCGCGCCTTAATCAACCTATAACGCACCCGGTCGTGTTGATAACCACCTCTGTACCTGTCCGCGCGCGCGCCGCCCCGCCGCCCCGCCGCTCCTCCCCGTGTCGGTCGCGCTGATTGTCCCCGAGTGCGCCGGAGTCTTACTGCTCCCCGCGCCGCCCGCGGCCCGCCCGCCCTCCATTGTGCTCGACAAACTCCATCATCCCTCCGGCAGCAGCCCTCCAGCGGCTCCAGCGGCAGGGCCTCGGCGGACTCCTCCAGCGCAGGCGAGCGCAGGCGCGGGGCCTAAGGTTCCCCTCCTCCCCCCCGCCCCTCCTCACGCCCGTCTCTGTGTTTGCCCGAGGCGTTGAAGAGCCCCTAAAACGACGGCCAACGACGCCTCGGCGTCTGGTAAGGCTCCGGCAGATAGGACACGCAGGAAGTCCCCACCCCGTCCACGGCACGCCTCCAGCGCGCCTGCGGCACGCCCCCGGCCCGCCCCCGACCCGCCTCCAGCCCAGCGCGCGCGCGGGCCAGGTTTTAAAACGTAAAACCCGTCCCGCCCCACGAAAAATACTCTACCAGAGCTGTAAAATTAATCCAGCTTTAATGGAATTCCGTATTTTCCTCAAGATTTTTTTTAGGAAGGAGATGCAGGGGTGTAGGTTGGCTGCTTGCCCTGCGTTGGGGATAAGCGAGTTCCACGCCCCGCAGCCTTCCTCCCGGAATAACGCTCTGCGCTCCGCGGTGGTCGCGGGTATCACCCGTTCCGCTCCTCTTTACCTCCGCAGCGCACTGACACAATCGTAAAGCCGCGAGGTTGGGTCGCGGCTGCAACATTTATGCCCAGGGAGAGGGTGAAAAATGCGGGTATGCAGAGGGCCTTGGCTGCTTCTTGTTAGGTTTTCGCACCACCAGTGGCCCGGCATGGCTTTTAAATTCACGGCGAGATACGGTCGGGACTAGCTGTACGTGTGTGGGACGGGACGGGGCTGCGGCAGCGGGGCTTGCTTGTCGTGCCCGGCGTCCTTGTGGCCTGGCCGGGGCCTGGCCGGGGCCTGGCCAGGGTCCCGAGGCTCCCGAGCAAACAACGGTGCGGTCTCAGCCGGTCGGCCGCGATAACAGTAAAGGCAACACCAGGGGCGTTAAACACTCTAAAATATAATGAAAGTAGGGCTCGAGTTGTTGTGTACCTACCCACTGCTTTGTCTTTGGTGTGTATATCAGGCTTGTTAAATAGTCTCTGGATCTACATACAACAGCCACAGCAAGTATAGTTTTTAGTTCAAACACGCGTTTTTAGTCAAACTCCTATAAAATTATGCGATTTTTAGCAAAAGACGTGTAACCCAAGGGAGTGTTTAACAGAGGAGCTACTCGTGGGAAAGGCATTGCCTGCAGGAAGTTTTGCTCCATATTTGGTCAATAAATCCGTCCGTATGCATATCATTTCATGTAAAAATGTATGACAAAACTACATTCATATTTAGTGCGTGCTGTAGTTACTAGTGCAGTTACTTTTGTTGCGTGATGAATCACTAACACTGACGCTTTTTAAACAGTACACTGGAAACGCAAGTGTATGAATGTAGGGAAGTAAACGTGTGAATCTTTCCAAGAAAATTCACACGTTGATCCCCATAAGTGTACGAATAAATGTTCACACACCTGCAAGTGTGCGACATTCATACACTTGCGTTTCCAGTGCAGCCTTGGTCAGATGTGTCTTTGCGCACCTTCATCAGATACAAATTTGTATTGTAGGGAGGTGAGTGAGGTACAAGTTTTACCTAGGCTAGTTACAAATGCATTTTTTTGTATGTAACCTAGATACAAATTTGTATTTGATTTAAATGTACACAAAGACACATCTAGTCTACGTACAAAAAATGTCCATGGCGATTTATTGTGAAAAAAACAAGTATACGTTGATTCAAGTGCCATTTCATTATTATGTATGTGGGTTCGTACCCACACCGTGTGAACTGTCATACTCCGGCTGCCTCTCGAATGAACCTTCGTATGTCTGGATGCGCTACATTGGTGTAGATCCCGGGGAAGCCCGCTCGAGCACAGCCGTAGCCCCACGACACAACCCCGATGAGCTGCCGGTCCTGGGAGATGAGCGGGCCACCCGAGTCGCCCTGTAAGAGAACCCGAACACACTGTTAACGTTTATGTTCCTGATTTACAACATGTTTGTTGTATAATTTGGAAACACTAAAAACTCCTAACCTGACATGAATCCTTGCCGTCTCCGGTGCCGCCTGCGCATATCATGCGCTCTGATATCTTTGCCCCGTGTGCCGTATAGTTGTGGTTGCAGGCGCTTCTGTCCACCACGGGGATGTCGACCGAGTGCAGCGTCCACGGCGTAAAGAGTGCTCTTTCCTGGACAATCATAAACGCATTTCCAATTCCATATTTTAGAAATCTTCTGAAGTACTCGAACTTATATACTCTGAAAAATATCTTCAAAGAGTATTCAGTAGAGAAATTCTTGCAAGGGTTACAGGGAAAATTTTCCATTATGTTTGTTGTAAAATTACAATATAAAATTGTACAATTACAAGCCTTAGGTATATTGGCTTGAAATTCGTCGACGGGAAAGAATGGGCTGTCATAAATTTACAGCATTTTCTGTCATTCGTAAATATGAAATATGTTGTAAATTTACGAGGGTATTTTTGACACTGTTTAAGGTGGTGCCATACACTTGTCATTCCCCATCCAGATACAGTGGCGATGGACCCGACTTTGACGTAGTGCCTCTCATCGACCACCTTGATTGGAGATATCCGACTGGAAAACGTAAACGGGCGCTTCACCTGTCGACACAGAGAGCTAGATAAATTGCTGCCTCTCTCTGTGGGATCGAACCCACCGGAGCACGCACCATGGGGATGACTTATGGTCATACTTTTATCAGACCGATGTCAAAGTCGGTCGTTGTTTTGTTGAAGCTTGCGTGCGGTTCGACGTAGTCAATGGCGTGCATTTCGCCGCCGATGCCAAGGAATCCAGAAGTTGAACCAGCGCGCAGTCGGACAAACCACGGAGGTCTCCAGGCAAAGACACGAGTTAGAATGCTTCAAAGGTAGTCACGTGATGGGGAAATAGGTGAAAAGTTAGTTGTCATACTGCCTGGGCATTCCGAAGACGCAGTGGGCGGCCGTGAGCGCGAAGGTTTCACTGATGACCGAGGCGCCGCACGAGTGCATGAACATGACCTCCAGGGACAACTGCAGACAGTTCGTCACTGCGGATTACTTTGTTAACCAAATATTAAGCAGTCAGAAAATGTCCTTGGTACATACAAGAGCATTTCGAGGGGGAAATCACATGCGAAATAGTTCGTACACATTCCCCTGGAGACCTACGGTTGCAAAGTGAAGTGAAATGAAAGCGAAATAGACCCGAAACAGATGCGAAATAGTCGGTGAAATCGTCGTGAAATAACCCCGAAATACTCCGAAATACCGCGAAATAGCCTTGAAATAATCCGAAATGGGCGAGAAATAACCGAAATGGCGGGAGAAATACCACGAAATAGCCCGTACGCTGCGAACCCAAGTGATTTCCCCCTCGGAGCATTTGCACTTGTATCAGGCTACACAGTACACGGTAAAAATAGTTTCTCGTATTCAAGACCTGCACTGTTAAAAATAACTGTCACCAGACGACATACTGCGGGATTGACACTTCTGTTATATAACAGAAATGTTGTCTTCATTTGAACACTCTCGAAACTTGTGATATTCGGCCCATATGGCCCACAACAAAAACTACTTCGTACTACTTTGCTGTACATTTACAAGAAAAGAGAAGTTAATTTTGTTAGCAACAAATTTCGTTTCAAAACAGAACAGAACACGCGTTTGAGTACAACTTTTTTTTTACAGGATGAAAACAAAAGTAGTTGCTTTCGGTCGGAAACTTTGTTTCCGAGATTTTGAGTAACACTGTTTCCTTACAGTGATGCCTGTAAAAAAACAGAATGTGCTGCACACAAAATTAATCACATTTTCGTTATAATTTTGCAGCACTTTTTTTAACAGCCTGGTCTTGAAACACAAAAAAACTTCTTTTACCGTGTAATGTTCTTGGTCTTTTAAAATTTAAAGTATTATGCAATTATTGTTTACTTTTTAAAATACGACAATTTTTCACACATTTTTGTGCAACAATATCTAGCGTTCCAGTAAAAAACCGTTTAATTACTGTCATAAAATGCGTGGGTAGTCACAATGCACCAAAGACTACAGTGGTTAAGTAATACCTGATGTGCAAAGTCTTTAATGTCCGCATTTGTACCGCCAACAATCCGTTCCATGTTAGATCCGCCATCTATAGGTCGCCCACCTGTAAACGCATAAAAACAAATACTTTCAATGTGGCTTAAACAATACTGCAATTCAAACCCTTGGATGACCTCGCGCACCAAGCTTGCGTGCCAATGTCAGCGACGTCAGTGGAAAGCAATTCGACTCCCAAAAGTTTCAAGGCCACCTGTACTGTACTCGGCGCTGTGGGCTAGGTTCGGCCACTAAGCAGAATCATAATAAGAACTTAAATTCCGACCTAACGTGCAACAGATTTGTTTGCTCTGCAAATCGGGCTCCGCTAAAGATGTCAGTTTGAGGTGCAAGAATAAAGAGTTCTACACTTAAAACTGCAACTTTCTGACCATCAACACAACTTTCTGGAGGCAATCATTTTGGTCTCAAATTCACAAACGAGTCTCGATAAGATAGGGTTGCTATCTATATTATTGTTTCAAGTACGCTTAGTTAATTATTAATTTCCATAAACTTATTTCCACAAACAGGCGCGTGCGGTACAACCCATATAATATAAAGATCATCACCACGGGTATGCACACACTCTTGCTGGTGACGGGAGGGCAAACCCCCAATTTTGAGGTGTAGTGATTCACCCGGTTCAAAGTTGAGTGACTGCTGAACGCACCGGCGGGGACAACGTTAGGCAACAGGAAGAGAAGCAGCGCGCGGCTGGCCAGGGCGGGCAGCATGGCGTAGCGGGGAAAACATCTCGTCGGCGTGATGGTCGCTGGACGAGTGGCCTGTGGCGAGCGAGCGCAGGCTATCACCATCACACATCAAACTGAGTGCTGGACCGGGCATCACGTTCATGGTCGCATGTTGTGCGAGCTTTCGATTGGAAAATTGCCAATATGCTGCAATATACGATATCCGCTGTAGCAACACGGTAAATTTATGGGCATAATTAATAAACGTGCGTCCGTCAATATCTATGAACTGATGTGTATTGTGTAGGCTTTATCCGGGCGCATAGATTTTATTCACATGCTGAGTTTTCTTTAAGCGGTTCCCTTAACGGTTGCCGGATATATGTGGTTTTCCAAACGGTCGCAAGAGGTAAGCGGTTATCCCCATGTGCTGACTATGCCCGAGCGCTGTTACTCCATTGAGTTTCATTGATTTGAATCGTTTCCGTTTTTTCGATACAGTACTGTCCCTGGCTGTGATTTTTGGCAGATTATTATAGTGACGCGCACTAGCGTGGCTTTAAATGATGTACACGCGAGCCTGATGCAGTATCGCTCTGAGACGACTGCGCAAACGGGTTTTTTGCGGTTATTTGATTATATTTTTTAGCTGTGTGCTGCTATGGCAACTACTTCATTATAACTCCTGTAGAAGGTTCTAATAATGCATTTTTTTTTTCAAAACAACGCGTATTTTCCAAGACGCTGGGTTCACCTTTCTTGCTTGCTTAGCTTTGCTCTGCCGAGTACACTACTTGGCGTACAACACCATGGTCGTGTGGCTTTATCGATGGGCGCGTCCCGTTTTATGATTTGCAAAAATATAGTTACCCTCTGAACGAATTCAAACGTTTCTCGTGGCAAAATTTACCGCCCAAAGTTTGTTCTCTTTGTATTCTGTGTATTGTTTTCCTAATGATTCCCTGGAAACCCAAGTGTGTACTTGAATGCGGTACTTCACTAAGAACACACTACCTCCTGCATACTTTCCAAGTGCACAGGACCTCCTGTATACATGTATCGGGTGATTCAGAGAAGACGCAAGGTGCGAGCGGGTTTGCCTACCTAATGGGCTATTGCGACTTACGGGTAGAGCGGGTAGGCAAACCCGCCTGCACCTGCGTCTTCTCCTAATCACCCGGTAGGTATGCAGGAGATACCGCATTTAAGTACACACTTAGGTTTCTAGAGTTGACGCTGTGTTTGGCCGTTCCCGCCCCTCGTCCCCAACCCCAACCTTTACGTATTCCTCGGGGAAAGCGTGACCCGCATCGGACCCTCATTACTTTCTGGACCGGAAACGAATCCCGCGTCACACAATATCAGGCTAGCGGTCGAGAACAAGCCCTGGGTGAGGGTGAAGGGGTAGGGGGAGGAGGGTAGGAATAGCGGGCCTGATATCCGATTTTTCTGCACGACTAGAAACGATAACCATGCTATTTCCAGGAGAGCAGTGCGGACAACTACCACTGCTGTAGCCTTGCACAGCGTAGACGGCTTACGGGCGGTGGGCAGGAGGGAAGAGTGGGGCCCGTGGAGAGGGCTGCTCGGCTTTGGGCTTCGCGGGCCGCGGGGGACGGGGATGAGGAGGAAAGAAGTGGTTTTCGAACGAGGTGGAGGGGGCACTGCCGGGGCAGGGTGCTCGGACCCCCAGGATGCCTGCCTGCCGCTGAGTCGAGTGATTCCCCGTATTGGCGGCATGGTGGTGGAGCCTCAAGCAGCGGGACCCCCGTCCTGTGTGTGGCCACCGGAGCACCTAGCCAGCGTGAAATGGACCAGAGTGCGCGTGAGGATCTAGCGCTGCTCGCCTGCCTATCCACGCGACGGCTTTTTGATTCGACCAGTTCAGACCACAGGCCGCGTGGTCCTTCTCTTTTCTCCCTAGTGGCCGCATTGTGTGAAATATTCGTCGGTATTAGAAGGGTTAATTTCAGCAAAAAAAACACCTTAAAGTTCACTGGTAAAACGTGTTTAATGTTGCACGTTAATTGATGTTTAAGTGGAGGTGTGACTTTTCCCAACAGATTGTGGTGTCTAGCTAGGTTAAACGTCAGAATTGGCGTTTCAACTTTCGACACTTCCGAAAATTATTGCAGCTGCACACCATGTGGTTCCTATTCATAACATAGAACTGTGTGCGTCTAAGTGTGCAGAATTTAAACGTTTATAGCAAATGTCTAAAATGTGCACACCACGCAAGTGTACAACTTGAGTTAAATACCATGTAATGTAATGTGCAACATTATAACTTGCACACGTTGGAGTTTAAAGTATGCGCACTTGGTTCACCAGTGTTACAAATTGACGTAAAATATTACGACTTCATGTTTTTGATGCGTAATAATTGGCCTTTCCTTTGTATGTAATTTTTGAGCCTCAGTAACGGAGTTTTTGGGCCGAGGTAGGTAAAATAAGACTACATGCTTCATGACAGTAACCAGTAGCAGGAACAAAATATAAACTTAATTATTTATAAGATGAACCTGCCTGCCTTATCCCGTCTTTCGATTGAGTACAAACACAAGAAAATCATGGAACACAGTAGAAAACGAAAGCCAAGTTGCACCTCTGAGTCAGCGTTTATTGCCTTTTTGTAAGGGCCTCAACTATCCCAAAGAAACTAAGTTTTAGCAACTTGAGGGCTTTTCAATGACTTTCAAAGACATTCAACTTAAACTCAAATATTCTAATACCCCCGGAAACGTGCGACTCAAGCCCTTCCTTTGTCCAGTGTATTTTTAAGACTGTTAACAAATTCAGTGAGAGGAAAGGGGGGGGGGGGGGGGGGGCATGGCATGTGTGGTGGACTAGGGGATGTCTGCCATGCGCTTGCAATGCAGACCCCCGCCAGCTCTGTGCTCTTCATAATAATCTCCCTCCCCCTCCACGAACCTCTCGTTGAACCCTCTGCCCGCTCTGGTCTGGAATGGTTGTCATGGTCCATCGTGCGGAATGATGGAGAAATGACTTCTGCCCTTCTCTGGGGCACGCGACGCCACGCGCCCTGCCTGCGGAGAGGCCACTCCCTCGATAAACGGATACTCTAACATGATAGAATCGAGCCGTTTACAAAAATAAATATGGGAAAAGCATCGCCCTATCCTCGCGGAAATGTTCTGCCATCACTTGCAGACTCTAGCTATCAGGCCCAGGCCGGCCCCTAGGGCCCCTTCGCCTGCCTTGACGCACTAATGGCTCTTCGAATCTATGTCGTATGTCGTGCAGCAAACTGATATCACCTAATGAATGAACATTTACCTGAAGTCATCGTTAAGTTAATAGTAAAACAAAGTCATGGTAGTACATGTTGTCCTTAAGACTCCAGTACTATTTTTGGATCATTCGCTATCCAATTCGGTTATAAAGATGGGTTGCCTATCTTCTCGGCGCCGCAAAAAGACACTGAAAAGTCTTCATAGCTTTGCCTTGTATTATAAAGAGTTTTCTTCTTAAGCCTCGAAGAGAGTAGAAGCACCGTCTTACGAAGAACTGGGTTTGTAGCTGACAGAACGCTGCTTTGTAATACTAAACCAATTTCTTTCGCATGACATAGACTAGTGCTGCCCGATTACTACAAAACAGTGCTTCCTAATAAAAACAAATCGGATCATTTACACTGGAAAAACAAAGGGGCTAAGTCGTGCCTTTCCTGGGGCACCCAACCAAATTCTGAGTTTAGTGCCCCTGTAAAAAGTAGTGCCTTTGAATGGTGGGATTTAACACATTTGTTCTTCCAGTGTGTACCAATCTAACAAAGAACAAAGTGCTATGTAAAATTTGAACAATGGACCTAGAAAAAACAATAACGAGGAAGGTGGACAGTATTCCTTCTGGTCTTGGGGGATTTGTCCAATTAGTCCGCGCCCTATACTGTAAATTTGACTTTTCGGCCGATGTCCATCCACGATGCGTTCATGGTGCAACACGCACTCTTGCGGATTGGTTTGCGCCTGCTCCATTCCCTATCCTCTCGCGCCAATGCTAAACGTGCCCGTGACCCGAGCCCTTCCCCGCCGCTCGTGACCATTAAACTCTCCGTAATTAAACCACTGCGTTCCTCATACGTGTGGAGCGCTCCGAAAACAAAACAAAAAACCTATCTCGTTAGCAAAAAAGGGGCGGCCGCTGCTGCAACTGCAGGACATCCCTTCACGTAGCGACCTCATTAACCCTTGTCAAAACGCTGCTTCCTAACGAGCAGCCTAGACTGTGGCCCGCGCCACGTGTCTGTGCAGTGCGAGGCGGCGGCGCTCAACCTGCACTCTAAATGGGAATGGCCATTTTTGAACCCTGCGAGGATGCGTTCTTGAGCACATCACTAATAGGTGACATTTGTATCAGAATGGTTACAATGTGTGCCTAGCCAGCATAAGTACAAATGACTTTTTTGTGTCAAGCTTTTTTGCATCTGATTGAGATATACTTTAGAACGCATCCTCGCTGCATACAAAATTTCCCTCTCCCATTTTGAGTGTGGGTCGTTGTTGATATACCATAACGCATTAATTTGGCTTGCGTATTCAGTTTAGGGGAAAGCACTTGGTACATAAAACAGTACGAGTTTACCCACTCACTATTAACATCACTATCATAATTACCTAATAACATCACTATCATAATTACCTAATACCGTAAACTGATTTATGAAATACCTCACAGTTTTCTGAACAGATAATAATCAAAAAGGCCCCAAAAATGCAGTCTAGAGGATAATCATCCCCTTAAGTTGCCAGAAAAAAATGTTCGGTGCTCGAGCTAACGCATTAGTTCTGAAAGCAAAACCACTACTAGGGTCCTGCAGCGATGTGCTTTGTTTTAGCAACGAACTTTTGGCCACTGAATATCCGTTACCACGGCTAAGTAGAACTAGCGGACTAACAGTGTCATCGAAAACCAATAACAAATAAACAACATTCATCTTTTACGTTGTTTCTTTGTTATTGGTTTTCTATGACACTGTTAGTCCGTTAGTTCTAGTTATGACGGCATTATTATGGACTGGATGTTGGTCGTAATCAAAACGTATTGTTTTCTAAACGAGACGTAGATGAGCCGTTCATGAGAGGTCACACAGTCGTCACAGTTAGCAAACTATTTCCACTACCTCCTTCGCGCAGAATAGAGTGGGCTGGGAGGTTGTTTGTCTCTCCGTGCTGCTAATACGGAATCAAGTGCAGCACAGCGACGGCAAAGCGAACGAGAGGAAAAGAGAGAAGGATGCAGAGAGAAGAGAGGGCGGAAGACATAAGGAAGGCGGGGGAGTGTCTGCTTGTCTAACGAGTCGTTTACTGCCCCTTAGACCCTTTAATTGCATCAACATTATCTGTCTCGGCTCTCGCACGCGCCTTGAATTTCAATCTTCACTTTGCCGTGACTTTGAATCAGTTTTTCCAGTTTCCAACCTAGAGTATGGTGGTCGTGTTACAGAGGGGGAAAGAGAAATTAATATGCAATCCGGTTGGTCATTTCGCTCATTTAGGCAGACGGAAATCCCTTGACTCTTTGGCTATAATTTTCCCCTGGTGTAAAAGGTAAGCGGCTGGATCGAGTCCAAGTGCTGGTCAATCTTTCAGCGATAGGGCGTGGGAGAGCCAGAGGGCGGCCCTAATTGGTCTTCAACTATTCCCACCTTCATTACGACTTTCCGTCAATAGAGAGCGCTGCTGGCAGCCAATGTTAAATTCATGCCAAGTCGCGCTGTTCACGGCCTTTGTCGGCTAGATTGGCGTTAAGTCGAGCAAGCGGGAAGGCATGAAGGGAAAAGGGGGTTGGGAGTCGGGGGGGAGAGACCAAGCCTTCGCCCCGCCCCCGCCTTCCTTGGCGCTGCCGCCTTGGCCCGCCCCGGGGCACATCAAAGGGATCAAATTGCTGGTGCACGCATTCAGTAGCAGGCCTTCTGAGACACTAGAGCGAAGTGTGTGGCGCAGTGGCGATTTACGTTTATTTATTCGATTATCTGTATGAAGTAGGTCTGCAGACTCCTTGTCTCTCCGGTTGGCTTCGCCCTTCTCACGCAAAGGCTCGCAGACCCAGTCCAGCGCGGCCAGCCCGGCAGCGCTGGCCCGTTAATCACAAGTCGTAAACTCAAAACAAACAGCAGCGGCACAGGTCGGCCCGGGCAGCGGCACCAGCACTAGCGGCACGAGCAGCAGCAGCACGAGCGGCGCAAGCACCTGCCGCTACGACACCTTTCTACTCAACGTCCAACGCCCCCCCCCC